TATAGCACACCCTGTCAGTGTCTGCTGAGAACTGGAGAATTGTTGGATGTAGGGAAAATACCACATTTGGTGGCCAGAAGAATCGAGTCTGTGAGTAGGGAGAAACACAGTTTTTCCTTTAAGTAGTTAACTTAAGAGCAACATTCTGGCCCTGTCGGGCATGGCTCAGTGGTTGAGCGTTGACCTAGGATCCAGGCGATCCGGATTCGATTCCCAGTCACAGCACATGCCTGGGTTGCGGGCTAGACAGCTGATCAATGACTCTCTCATCATTGATGTTTCTCTCTCTCCCCCTCTCCTTTCCTCTGAAATCAATAAAGATATATTTAAAAAAAAAAAAAAGAGCAACATTCTGTTATGTAAAATCTTCTATTTTTCATCACTGTTTAAAATTTTGCTTCTATCAAATGCTGAATTAGCCTGTATAATAAAGATAACACTACCTGTCAAATCTACCTCATAACTGTGATGATCAAATAAAAGAATAGATGCAAAAAAGTATTAAAATTAAAGACTTAAAGAATAGTATTATATCACTCAAATTATTACTTTATTACTAGTGATAGAAAGTAAAATAAAATATAAAAGTACAGTTGACGTTTGAACAATGCATCTAAATCCACGATGGATTTAAATCTGTGTATAAATTGACCCACACGGTTCAAACCTGCATTGTTCAAAGGTCAACTGAATCTCTGACTCATGGTTGAGAACCTGCTTATGTGGAGGGCTGACTTAAGTTATATTTGGATATTCAACTGGGTGGGTAGTCAGCTCCCCTAACCCTCAAGTTATGCAAGGATCAACCTTATTCAAGTTTAATAGTGCCTTTAAAACAAGTAGGCATAAGTAAAAACAGTAACTTAAGGGAAAAAAACCAATCCCTGCCAAAATTAGAACCAAGGACTGAGAAAGGTAGGCTTAAAACCAGCTGGAGGCAAGATAAAATGGGGGAGGGAATCACACCTAATTCCTTATGTTATACAGATATGATGGAAAGAGAACTGTAAAATGAGTGAAGTAAAAACAGGAAACAAAAGAAGGTGGGGCTTCTTATTTTGAATAAATATGTAAAATCAAGCTGCTTACTTGAGAGTTTCTTGGATACTGAGATATACTGCAGTTTCACGGATGTGTCATTCCCACCGCCTTGCCCTGGAAAGCAGAACTTACTCTCTGGTTGCTGTTTAGAAACTGGACTGGATCTGAAACTGCTAGGCCATTGACTACTGGAGACTGCTCTCCCAGACCCCTTTCCTGAAGGTGAATGCACTGGAGATCAAAATTAGAGAGTGGTCTTAAATTGCTGCAACGAGCACAAACTTTGCAGTCAGACAGACCTAATTTCAATCTGGACTCAGCTAGTAACCAGTTTGGAGTCAGTTGTGTCACCCAGGCAATCCCAACCGCTCTCTGATTGGTCTGTGGCCAAATGAGAAAAACCAGGACAATGTAGTATAGTTTTTCATAACACTAAATTTGTCTTTGTTTTCATATTGTAATCATGATGTTCCTACCTTTTTGGTGGTAACAGTGTTCTTTCTGTTAAGTAAGGATGGAGATGATAGATTGTAGTAGTTTTTAAAAAGGTCCTTAACAGAATTAAAAGTTAGTGATCTTATGTCTGATCCCAATTGCTCCCTATACAAAGACTTTTTTACTTGCCCATGAAGTCCAAAAGTGAACTACTGACTTAGAAGTCTCACTTTCTCATCAATAAAACAGGAGATGAGAAACTCTTCTGCAGAGTTGGTGTGTAGTGATGATGATAATATATAAAGCATCAAGCCTTTAGAGTTTAGAGCTTTATCATCATAAAAAGCTCGACTACTTGACTTGAAGGTTTACTCAATAAAATCCATATCCAGGCAGTCCAGCACAAGCTTTTGATGCTAGAGTCTAACTGCTGGATTTAAATCCTAGCTTTGCCACTGCCAGCTCTGTGATCTTGAGTAAATCAGAGTAAGTTACAATCTCATCACTCAAATGGGGATGATAAACAACAGGACCTACCAAACAGGGCTTTTATAAGATTTAAATTAGATAATCCATGTAATATGCTTATCACAGTGCCCTCTAAGAGCTCTATACTTGTTAACTAAGCATCACTGTTAATATTAGTAATAGGTGGTCAGAAGGGCATTCTAAATACCTGTTAGTTTCTATATCAGCATATTCTACTGTGAAATCCTTATTAAGAGGCTATAGGATAAGCAGGGTTAATATTTACTTAAACTATTTCAAATTATATTTCTAGGTCAAGAATGAGAATTTGGAAGACATACAGATCTGGGCATCATCAAATGTTATCCTAAATATCTACAGAATCAATATTTTTCATTACTTTTGAAATTTGTACATATTGATCAAAGGAGATATAATATACAGTCATGCAATCAAAATAGTGACTTTCAAATAAAATAGCTTTTAATAAAATTGTTACTTTTTTATAAAACCAAATGTGTTTTATATATTTAGTATTAATTTATTCCTCTAATACTGATCCTTAGTAAACTATAGGTTTTAATGTTAATTATGTTTTAAAATATGGCTAAATCTTTCTGAAAGTCACCAACATAAATTAGAATTTAAATAGGAGTTAATTTATAAAAGAAATTCTCAAGTGATAAATGAGTTTTTCCTTTATGAATTTTTAATGTGCTTTCATAACGAATATTTAGAAAGATAAAAACATTATACATAAACACCTATTAACTGCTATTAACTGCTGAAATCCATTAGCAGTACTTTCTCGGGAATAACTACTGAGTAAGGGTATGTTTTAATTCTCAAGAGAATGAAGAACTTCAACAAAAGCATAGCCCAACATTTCCTATCAGCGCATGGTAAAGGTTATAACAGCATTTCTGGTCTCTATGTCTAACTTGTAAGTCTTTATAACTACCATAAAACTGTCAGGTACAGGTTACAAAATCAGAGCTCACAGTTGATTATTTAAATGTCCAATATTAGAAGATAGAGTTAAACTTTCCTGTATTTCTGCAAACCATGTAACATAGCAACATGTAACCCAACTAGTTATAGCAGTTATACAATAATCTATCTTTTATGTAACTACTGTAACTGGCATGTATATATGTATATGCATGTATATACGTATGTATATGTACATCTATAATTACATAATAGATTATATAGTTCTCTTTTGTGTAAATACTATTACTCACATGTGTATATGTATGTGTATATATGTGCATGTGTGGGTGTATACATATATATGAAACTACATATATATATATATATGCAACAACTGTATCTTCTCTAACTTTCATAATGCTTGGCAACTAAAGATCAAAACTTATGAGTACAACACTGCCATTAGTTTTACAGAGTTAAGAGAGGACTGGAGCTATGAAGTTAGATTGCTGGGTTTGAATGCAGGCTTTACCGTTTAAAACCTGTGATCTTGGGCAAGTCACTTAACTCTACTAAGCCTTAGTTTCTTCATTTGTAAACTCGACAGAGTAACAGTACTACTATCACAAAGCGTAATTTTTATTTTTTATTTTTTTTATAATTCAAGGTGAGGGCTTTTTATTTCTTCTTTCTTTTATTTGAATTTTTTTGAAACAGAAGAGAAGAGGTGGAAGGCAGGGGGTAGAATGGAGGGAAGAAGAAAGTGTAATTTGATTTGGAGATAATTCATGTAGTGAACAGTGCCCGGCCCATAATTAACAATAGGTACTTCTACTGTTATCATCAATTGCAGAACTAAAAGTAACAATGCTATTAAATGCTTTGCTTAGAAGTGATTGCCGCAAGTATTAGGTAGGTAAATCAGATATAAAATAATTTCTGTAAGGAAGCACTTCTGTTGAGATTTATTATTTTGAGTAGCTTCTCATCAAAGGGCAACACATACTTTCCAGAATTGTCTTAGGAACCAAGAGAAAGTCAAATCCAAGAGCGTGAGCGCAACAACACACACGCAGAGATGGTTTCGTGAGCGTCAGAACACCTGCCAATCCTGGTCCACAGATGCCCTGGCACATGAACTGGAAAGAACTGGTCCAATCCTAGAACTTTCTAGCCTGCAACAAACTTCCATCAAGCGAAGAGCGAACACACACACACACACACACAATGCTTAGCTCTCATCATTAATTCATACCTGCAGAAAGAGAGATCTATTTGCCAAAGAGGTTTGGAGCCACAAAATCGGTCCTGAAAGGGCGCGGGGGAGGAGGGGAAAGGAGAGATGCTCGCGTTCTGGAGGCCACAGGGCCTCACTCCGGGGCGGGAAACGGGTGGCGCCCCGGGACCAGCGAGTCGAGAAACTGGGAAGTCATGCCCCCGAAACCGGGGGCCAGGGATGAGCCGCAGACGGTCCGACCCGGGTTCCGCGACCTGACCGCTCGCCCCACCCTCAGCGAGCCCTTCCCTTTGCCCCGCTGCTCCATCCGCCAAGCGAGGACCCCGCCGCCCGCGCGCGAGGAAGCCGGCGGCTGGTCCGCACTCCTCTCCCTGCGCAACGCGGCAGGAGGCCGACGTCCGCTCTCCTCCCGGACC